GGACTTCAACTCCCAGAATTCCCCAGCCAGCCATGCTGGGGAATTCTGGGAGTTGAAGTCCACTCATCTTAAAGTGGCCAAGTTTGGACAACACTGGTTTAGTCCTAAGAGAACTCTGAATCTTTATATCTCTTGGACACATCTAATCTTAAGGAAGGTGGTGGTGAAGCGTTGCAGAGTTAGTAGAGGATCTACGTTGCCCGCTGAAGTCCTCAGCTTTAGCACCTCTCTAGTTAATAAGATAATGCAGCAGGAGATGGGAAAGACTTCTGTCTGAACCCCCAAGAACTCTTGCTATGAATCGATATAGAGTATAGAAGATTGACTAGATGGACAAATAATCTGACCTGGGAGAAGACACAACTTTTTAGACAGAGTTCACACACACCATGCTATGCGAGCTTTGTTCACTATGGTTTGTTGGATTGGCCACATTTGCTGGGAACAGTCACTTGATGGCAACTGTTACATTGAATGAAATGCCACACATAAAGAATCTTACTGCAATCACAGTTTTAATAAAGCCTGAACTGGGGAAATGGACAATATTTAATAAAACCCCTCACCAACCTTGAGTACAGCAGAGATATATATTCGAGAAAGAAATGCAAAACGGATGTAGTTGTGCATGCTTGAATTCATTCGAAAAGCAAACTTTCTGGAAACCAAATCATGGGAAGAATGCTTGAAAGAACAAGTTTGGCTTAGTTAGGAGAAGAGACGAGGAAAGGTTGACGGAGAGCCGCCCTCCGGTGCAGAAGAGGGAGCAGGTTGGTACTGCATTGAGTCAGGCAGATCCCTCCTGGCTGGGGATGATGGGATTGTAGTCCAACCCACCTAGGAAAGACTGTTTAGCCCAGATCAGACTACTTCTCCATCCGTTTTTACTTTTTTATTTTTACTTTTTTACTTCAACAGGCAGCAGATTCTTTGGGGTTTTACTTGTTATCGTTAGCCTCTGAGCAGGAGAAGCCAAGGAAGAAAAAGATAGATGCTTCTGCAAGCAAAAAATGCTCTACCACCCTTTGGGTTCAGATCATGTTAAGCCTTCTGGCTTTGGTTTAGCATGCCTGAGTCCAGCCACTGTGGTTTTAAACCACAAATCATGGCTTATTGGACAAACCATGGTTTATTTATGTTAAATTAATGTGTAAATCTGGTCATTATGGGTCGCGTAAATTCTTATCATGCAAACCATTTTTTTTTTAAAAGGCTCATTTGAAAATCCATGTTATCCTATCTGTTGTTTTCAGCTAACTAGATGCCTCCAGGAATTTGAAAAGTTACATATCTCCCCATTTGGCCTCTGAATCATTTAATTCAGAATTAGGCTACCTCTGACACAGAGACCTTCATTTCAGTTGTCCCATTCTTTACAAATCTCAGTGACAAACGTGGATCCTTAAGTAGCTAAAGCAGGATCATCTGCACATAAGTGGGGGGGGGGGGCACCAAAGTTTGCAAAAAACCAGCAAATCTTCAGAGGTTACCCTTAAAGCCATTGAAGATCCCCTGGAAAATTCCAATCTGGATTGAGCAAGCTTAATGGCAGTATCGGTACTGACCAAGGAGAGGTATAATAATATATTATATATATAATAATTTAATATAATATTATATATGTAATAACATCTCTTTTATGTATTTTATGTATAAAGGCTGGCTTAAGACCACAATAAGGCTTGTACAAAACATCCATCACACAGGATATTTCTGCATTTACTCCAACTCCACAACGGAATCAGTAAATCATGTTTTACTTCACTGTGCAGCCTGATCTGAAACTAACATTATTTCCTCGTTAATTGCTGACTTCTCCACTGAAATTTCCAGGACTGTAGCAAAGTTTTGCTCAACTGCAATTGCTGTTAGTGGGTTCCAGGTTTTATTCCTATGCTGGTTAAGGGGGCTGAACTTCCATATCTTTTGTCTTTATTTTTATTCTATTTTTACAGAGAGTTGCTGGAATCTCACCACTTCTCTTTTTCTGTAAGCAGCAGCTTCTTGTGGACGTGGCTGTTTGGTCTCTGGCTGTAAATTAATCAAGCAAGTAAAGTCATAAGCAATGGCAGTGGGATACGAATTGAATGCTAGGGACAAAAGATTGGGAAATCAAGGGAAAGCTAGAAAGGATTGGAGTATCCTGGAAGAGGGCATCTAGCTGGCTAGAACACTGTATAAGAGAACACCAAACTGCCAGTCTGAGGCTGCTTCAGCCACCGTTTTCTGCTGCATCTAAAAGAAAACCACCAGCACTTAGACAGCACATTTGTCTTCCACGCAATGACCAACATTTGCCCAACCAGAAAAGGAGCAAAATGCAAGCCGTCGGTTGGCTCCTAGGCTGGGCTGAGGACCAGCTACCTTGGAGAAACACTGTAGTAGCAGACAGACGTGCTGTGAACAGAAGTCGTCAGAGATGCTTGGATTTTCTTCTTCCCAATCTGGTTTGGCAGTAAAGGAAGATGGAAAAGCAGCCAAGGTGAACAGCTGTGGTATGTCTCCTCCTCTC